ACATCAAGCCGCAAATAGGAGACCTGGCCAATGTGACTTTATAGTTACTCCTTTCACAATAGACCAGTGTTTCTCAACCTTGGCGGCTTGAAGATGTGTGGACTCCAACTCCCAGAATTCTGGGGACCTCTGGGAGTTGAAGTCCACACATCTTCAAGTTGCCAAGGTTGAGAAACATTGCAATAGACGATAGAAAAGAAACACTAAACTATTACAGGAGAACATTTATAGCTTATTTACAATATAAAGTATTTAAAAGGTAATAATGCCTTTGTGTCAAGCTCAAATCCTGATAATTATGTAGGTACAACCACATAGTTTTCTTGGCAATAATATGAAAATAACTTGTCTTCTTCGGGGATGTTTTTCAGCTTACATTTTCCAATTTAGTATCTACCAGAAGTTTTGGAATGTGATGCTCGTAATTCTTTACCATTCATTTATTTGTTAGATTTGCATCTCACCTTTTATTCAAGAGCTGAATCACTGTCCACACCAGCTAGATATACTTCCAAACTTCTGGAGAGGACCAAGTTGGGAAGAATTAGCTTAAAGTGAGCAACTGATACTCATTTATATAAATATGATTTATTTAAAGGGATAGCTATTTATTTAAATATTAGCGTACTTCAAATGCAGACCACTTCTTTGAACACATGTAAATAGAAAGCTGGAGAGCCAGTCTGGTGTAGTGGTTAAGGTGCTAGGCTAGAAACCAGGAGACCATTAGTTCTAGCCTTCCTTTAGGCATGAAACCCATCTGGGTGACTTTGGGCCAGTCACTCTCTCTCAGCCCAACCCATTGTACAGGGTTGTTGTTGTGGAGAAAATAGGAGGTGGGAGCATTAAGTATGTACAGTACCATGAGTTGAGAAAAAATAAAGGCAGGATAGAAATCTAATAAAAGCAGGGTTTTTGTGAGGAGAGAACTCCAAAACTTTAAAAGTTCTGTTTGTTCCCATAAAAGCTTATCCATTTGTTAAGATCATTATAAGTAGTCCTCGCTTACCGACCACTCATTCAGCAATAATTCAAAGTTACAATAGCACTGAAAAAGGAGATATATGACCGGTCCTCGAACTTGTGGCTGTTACAGTGTCCCCACAGTGGTGATTCGGGCACTTGGCAATCGGCACACATTTATGATGGTTACAGCACCCTGCAGTCACATGATCACCATTTGCGACCTTCGGAGCTGGCTTCCGATAAACAAAGTCAACGGGGAAGCCGGCAGGAAGTCGCAATTTGTGGTCACGTGACATCGCACTTAATGGCCTGCGGTGATTCACTTAATGACCACAGAACTGATGTCATAAGTCCAGTGCGGTCTCATGACATTTCACCTTATGACTGCATCACTTAGCAGTGGAGTTGTCAGTCAATAAGAGAGGACTACCTATATTTTCTCCACCTCCTCTTCACAGTTGCCATATACCCTGTGTGTGGAATGGGAAGGACAATGTGAACTGGAGATACTGAATACATACTTCTGCAGCTATGTCTGTACATACAGAAGTCAACGGAGAAAGCATTATTCATTTTCCTTAGACTAATTTTCTGCATCTTAAGTGCAGGTGAATAAGAGATATTTGCAAAGTGCCACATTAATCCAAGCTTCCGTCATGTGCACCCAGTTCCATAAGACTTCATTCTATTTTGCTTCCCATTTGGTTTTCTGTGATCCTTAAGCATTCCTGAGGGCTTTCCAAATGTGGCTTTAGTTCTTGTAGGAAAGAAAAACAGCTGGTTGCCCATCAGTCGACAGGGTTGCTGAATGCTTATCACTGGTCAAGGGTCTAGCTTCCATCTGCTGTGATGGCAAAGTCTGTGTGCATGGAAGTTCCCTCCTTCTACAAAATCTTGTCATCACAGCTGATAGAATATTCCCGGGATCTGGTGCAATGGAAAATGCCCAGCAAGCTTTCCCCTGTGATCAGAAGCCATGCCTGTAACACTCTCAGTCCTCACAGGGCAGCTTTTGAACTGAAACCCCATATCCTTTTTCCCCAGTGTTCATTGTTTTTCTCTCTCTGATTTTGAAATAGGTTTTTGCAAACCTGGAAGTTCCCCAGGTATTGATACCTCTTTATGTACCAGAGGGTGGGGGGCAGGGGCAAGAGAGTAAAATTTGACTACATTAAAATGTGCACTTAAACTCCAAACATCAGAAATGAAGGGAAAGATAAGAAAAAAACTATAGGCATGTGCTGAAAACTGTTGATTTTAAAGGCACTAGATACCCAGAATCAAGAGTCCACTTGTTAAAAGAGCTTAGAATAGTTAGAGATTAAAGACACTGAAGTCCAACATATCTGGCCAGCATCTGCGTAGGGAAAGCCGATTTAGAATTGAAAACATACAATGATAATAGCAATAATTCTTTCTCTTAAAGAGAGTCCTGAGCAGTACAGAAAAACATTAAAAACAAGTAACACTCGATTTTTTAAAAGACGATTTAAAAACCAATTTACTGGAGTCCATAACAAAGCTGTAAGACAAAACACAGAACTGTCTTTGCTTAAATTCTATATTATTCTTCCTTACTACTTTCCCCTTATGTAGTGGTTTTGAACATTCAAAGCACTTTACATGCATTTTTCAGTCATCACTCCAAGGATACATAAGCATCAAATTGCATATTTGGGGATGGGAAGGCTGATGCCTCCTCCATGTAGCTTGGTGTTGTGTGCATCCCCCCTCCCAAAACTGAAAGCACTGTGTAAAGCTGTTGGGCAGCATTCAGCAACTCTTCTGAGTCTCCCCTTGAGTTGGGAAATGATTCTTTCCACTGGCCCATGAGGGAATGCTAAAAGCAACCACTGGCAAGCACCTTGTGTTTCCTTAATCATGGTATGTTTTCACAGTAAGGAAAAATAGTTTAAAAAAACCTTACCAGCTATTTTGGGGATGATGGAGGAACCAAGCTGTCCTTTAAGATGGCGGCCAGGGAAAAAGTCATGCTCACCCTGCCTGCCAGTCAGGGCTTCCTGATCCCCTGGGACTGGCAGGTGGGATGAGGTATGACTTCTTTCCAACTTCCACAGAAAACTCATGTCCGGGTGGAAGTGGGGAGGAGCTGGCCCCACATGTGAAAGGGGCCTGAGGGTAGTAGTTTGTCTATGGGCAGTTAGGAAACTTATGGACAGAATTAGGAATTTCTTGATTCATAACTTTCCTTCCTCAGTCACTATATGAACACAAGAATAAAGAAAAAATGATGAATTTGTGAATGGAACCGATTGCTAAAAATATGTCAGGACTCAGAATTGCCTGAAAGTCTTCCCTACTTTCTGAAGAACTCACCTCTGCTTATATTTCTATAGTGGCAGCACTTAGTTGACTTGGACTGATTTCAAAAAGCAAGATTGGACATGGTAACCATTGGATGGGAGACCACCAGGAGATCAGGAAAATACGGTTAGCACTTAGATGGGAGACTACCAGGAAAATGGGCTTTAAGTTGGAATGGGAAATCAAAACAACATTCTGGAAGAAAGCAAGGCAAACCACTTCCATACTGCCAAGAAAACCACACAGATGTTTCTGTGAAGTCACCAGGCCTTGATTAGAAAGAGACTTTACTTTTTACATAGTGGCAAAAGACGTGTTTAAGACATGCCCCATCTTCATCCCATTCCAAAGTTGAGGCTTGTACTGAAAACAAAATTTAAGGATCAAGCCCCAAGAAATCTTACAAATCTTGCCTGTAAAAACTCATGGCTGTGTAGACACAACTATCAGCAATATAATCCTTGTTCCTTTTCCCCATCCTCCCACAAAGAAAGTATCTGCAATACTGTACAAAATACCATCTTACAGGCTGGCTGCATGTGCTTGCGTGTAACTTATACTTTGGCGTATAAAGAGAATTCAACTCTTCCTCATGTAGTCTCATTTTTTCATTCAGAGGTTGCTCAATTTCTGTAACTAACCTGACTGCTCAGGATTTTTGCTGGAAAAAAAAATACTATTTAGCTGCTTAGAGATGGTTATTGTTTGATTGAATTATTTATCATTACTCTGGCTTGGAAGGTGCCACCCTTAAAGGCACAAAAAATGTGTAAAGAAAGAAAAGAAACTTTAACTCAGACAGGGAGATTCTGAGGTCAACTGCCATGTTTGATGCTGTCCACCCGAACCTTAGCCTGTTTAATTTGAAAAACACAGATGAATGGAAAAGAAGAATTTTATGGGTAGCTCTCCACCTCCAGTGTCCAAACAATTTCATTTTCCAGGCCATCCTTGGCAATGTTGTGATAGTTGAAAGTGAAATCAAACCACACACAATTTTCCTGTCATTTTAAAAAACAGCTTAAAGTTTTGCTGTTTAGAAATTATTACATATATAATTTGCAGTCTTAGATCTTCCCAGTAGTTTTAACTAAAAAGATGCAAAGCTTTTCATGTCCTTCAAAATGTCAGAATCTGCTTTTGAAAGAAGAAAAGCAACTTCCTAAACCATTCTAGACAAACTTAAAAGAAAAAAAAAAGCAACATTTCAACTGGAATGCAAAACAGGACTGAAATAAACAAACCACACATCTCACATTTCTCTCTTTGCAATGACTTTAAAAGACCCCAGTCCTCTCAAGGGTAACTGCTAATAAAAAATGATGATGCAAATACATTCTTCCCACATTAAGACTGCACTTTTTTTGCTTGTTAATAAAGCTCCTCTCCAAGAAGAAACAGAAATACTGTAGCGAGCATTTACATTCATGGAGGAAAAATCACTACTGGTGTTTTCACAGCTCTCGGCTGCATATATTTCTTTATCCCTTTGGGATCATCCTCAGTGCATCACTAAGTCTTGCTTTTCCAGTTTCGGATTGGTTAAATTTCCCTAAACACACACCAATATAAAACGTGCCTTTTGAAAGCAGCTGCTTCAGGGCAACGCTCACCATTAACTAGATCAGGAACAAAGAAATGGGGGGAAGAATTAAAAGAAAGGAAAACATCCCATTCTAAAGAGAGCAGCAGCAGCAGAGTTCACTTACCTTTTTTCATATATACATACATATAAAGCCAGCAAAAATATTGCCTTCCTCCCAGCACAGCAGCAGCCACATGCCGAGTTCCAACTAGAACACGGAGCGGCCAATCAGCAGAAGCTGTCATGGAGGACGGCATGCTGGGAATCGTAGTCCAAAACTCCAGAATAGACCGTTTGGGAATAAATCGTATTTTTAGACCCTCCATTTTTGTGTTTGAGGACAGCGAGTGTCTCGGGCTGGATTAGCAGGTCGGAGCTGCAATCCTGAAACATACCTCCTCGGGTGTAAACTCCACTGAAATCAGAGAAGCATCTTGCAAATAAACGTGCGGGAGGACGATGTTAAAAATCAACAAATCCGTCCATCCTTCACTTATGATGCAATCATACAGTATTTTAAAAGCACACATTTATAAAGCCATGAAGTAAAAGCTTGCACAAGGAAGAAGAAAAAATTAAGGCAAAGGATGGCGTGGGCGCGTCAGTGAGAAACTTAAATTATTTCTCCTGAACTTAACCCTTTCGTCTTTAAGGTCTGGCAGTTCTCTTATAAAGGAAAGGATTGTTTTAATCCAGAAAGACAGTGTGATTCACAGTTCATTGAGAGGCAATATGTGCACCAAATTTCCCTCCAGTATTCTTACTACTCCTCTTAGTACTACTCTTACTTAATACTTATTTATACTTTAATATTTCATAAGTAGTACTACTTATTAAAAAGAGATCAGTGCAGTTTAGAACTGGGGATGGGTGGATGTGGTGAGAATACAACAGGAATTTGGTCAAATACGTATAAAAAACAATGGAGTAAAGGAACCAGATGTATTGCAGAGCTAAGGCAAATCCTTCCATTGAGAAACAGGAGTAATGACTAACTTTCCCAACCTGAATATTTTTCTCTCTCTAGCTAAAGTTGGAATGGTTTTTCTTACCTGGGTCCATAGATTCCAGAGTGACTGGCTCTACTGGTGCAAACAGAGTTTCAGAAAGGAAATGGAGAATTCCCTTCTTCCTTAAACCAGCAGGGTCCCTGTCCCTGTCCTGGGATAACGCTGGTGTCCCACAGCTGCTCTGCCTGAAGACCCCTAAGTCCTGCCGACACCAAACTCTGCTTCTGTGAGCATCCTGTTTCCACCAATGGCCAGCCGGTTGCCTCTAGGAAGCTGACAAATAGGGCAACAGCGGGCCTTGTTCCTAATGGCTGTATTTGCACAACCTAGCCCACCGTGTTTTAGCCTAGCGTTTTTGCAAAAAGATAATTTCTCCCTTGAGTCAAACTTGATCTCTGGTTAGAACAGGAGTCAAGTGCCTGAGGTAACAATGTTGTGTTGTTTTCTTGGCAAGAGTAAAAGCGGTTTGTTTTCTGTCCTATATTTGTCTCCTCTCTTCCGCTTCTCAGTCCAGCCTACAGCCCTAGGCAGGTGACACCCGAACAATAAACCAACTTTGCCTGAGTTAAAAAAAAAAGAGCTAATCAGTTTACTAAGCTGGTTGGAACTTAGATGGAAGACCACCAGGAAATGCCTGGGTTGTAGAGTAGACAGGGAAGTTGCAAAAATGTCCTGCAAAAAGGCAGTGGAAAGTAACAAGAAACAACATGGATGTCTCAATATAGTCCTCAGGAATCAGCTGGGGGTGGGGGTGGTGGAATTGATTTTATTATGCAAATCCAGATCATGGTTTAGCTTTATGATTCAGTGTGTTGTGCAAGCCTAGAAAATGGTTAAACGATGGATAAACATGCTATGTCTAGCACCTATCGTTCAGACATATGCTGTTTACACAACGTCCGTGCAACCTGTATTTATTGAACTACCTGCTGTATATTGTGTGTGTGTGCTGGTCGTCATATTCCTGGGCAGTGTACAGCTGAAATTAGAAAATTAAAATGCAAACATAATAAAAACATTCATAGTAGTAGAGATGGCCAAGAAGTCTGTAAAAGCAACATACAGGCTGGGTTCAGACGCTTCAATACCTCATAATGTATGAATGCAGCCCTGATAATTTATAAACAATGTTTTTGTGCAAATCCAGCAAATTGCGATTTATTCAATAAATGACTGATTATGATTATGTGCCATCAAGCTGTTGTCGAATCTTAGTGACCACATAGACAGATTTCCTCCGTGTTGATCTGTCCCTAACCTGGTCTTTCAGGTCTTCTAATGGTGCAGCAATAGCTGCTGTAACTGAGTCCATCCACCCTGGTGCTGGTCGTCCTCTTCTCTTTCCTTCCACCTTTCCCAGCATTAGAGCTTTCTCCAGAGAGTTAGGGCTTTGCATAATGGGTCCAAAGTAGGATAACTTTATTCAATAAATGCTGATTAAATAATCTTGGCTTAGCATGGTTTGCATCAGCTACAGATTGAGGTAACATAAGCCTTTTAAAAGGCTGAGTCAAATTAGGAAAAATTTAACTGCTCTAGAAAATACTGCACAGTAACATCCATATGACTGCAGAAAAGCCTTTGTCTTTAGCACAGCTAAAGAAAGCACCAATCTGATGCTTTCCGGCTATGTGGTGATTATAGCCCTGGTTAGGCAGATTTTACCATCATTGGTGCTCCATCAAACATAATGCCCCCCATTTCATTTAAATTCTGTTTCTAACTTCCCACTTCCATAAGAAAAGCTGTCCTTCTTTGATAATCCTTGATAACGTGTTCTGAGATTTTGTTGCATGACCTCTATCAAAGGCTTTTCTTTAGACTGTCCATGCTTACTGGACCATCTCCATACGGGTCGACATTCAAACAGCAGGATAATTCAGATGAATCCCACCCATAATTAAAATACCAAGGGAAAATGAGTTAATGCTTTCCAGTTCTACATCTACCTTCTTGAGGCAAACATTATACCTCAAAGGGGAGTTTAAGTATCCTGATGCTTTTCACAAGTGGAAATTTTTAGGCTGTTTTTACACAGCACAGTAAACATGGTTTGCTTTAACTTTGGTTGCTTGGTATTTCATGGCATACCCAACCATTGTGCTTTGTAAACCATATCATATTGTTTGTTATACTGTAGGAGCTCAGTTATGTTTCATTCAGTAAACCATCAAGAAATATGTAGTGACTTAGGCACATGGTGTGAACTCATTTCATTGTGAGAAATAGTAGCTAAATTAACATATCACTCTAAGCCAAACTGCACAAGCCATATTATGGCTTAAAACAAACCTAACCAGCCTCTAGGTTCTCATATAATGTAAAAGCAAGACTTTTAAAATTTGGTTTGCTGATAAATCCATTGTAGCCTGGCTTGTACAAAGTGCTTATTCATGATGGATGGGTGTCTATTTCACACTAAACCCAACTCAAACAAACCACATGATGAACTAGGCCACTATTTATTGATTTATAATGGTTGTTAACCATTTTTCATTTTCATTTTTCATTATATATAATGTCCAAGTTAAGCTCAGTTCCTAGGAATCATGTAAGTTGTTCTGAAACTGGAGGAGGGAAGATCAGGAAATACAGTATGCAAACACCATAGATCAGAGGAATGAAATAGACTCCCCTCATCTCATCCTGTCTGCCTTGAACATGTTTGATAAGGACATGGAGGGTTCTTTTTTTTTAAAAAAAAGTGGACTATAATTTAGCTGATTCTGGGCTGATGGAGTATCTGATTGATTTAATTAATTTTAATTTTAATTAATTTCATTTTTACTTTAATTACCCAAACATCAGTTAGGAGATGAACTTCACAAATAATAGTCCTTCTAAGAAATTCATGATTTATTTTCTTCTGATAACTTCCTCTTTCAGAGGGAGGGAGAATCCCCAAGAGGATTGACTATTCTTGACTTGGTATTAACCAATAGAGAAGACTTAAGAAAATGAAATAGCAGGAAGGGGAAATGGTAACTCCAGAGTAATGTTGGAGTTCTTGATTTAAAGGAAAATCAGAACTGTGTGTGAACAAATGCCTGTTTCTCCAGATTTTAAGAAACTCAAAGCAGTGTTCAATTGGATTCCATGTCAGAAGGATAAAACAATCACGATGGCAGGATTTCCTTCTAAAGGAAAAGATAAAAGCAGTGAGATTCCAGTGAGAAGTTAATTGATAGACAGCAGAGAAAGCCAGTGTAACTCCACAAAATGTTTAGTGAAGCTCAAAACAACAAACCTAAAAGATGGAAGAACAAAAAAAGAATACAAATAGGAGATTGAAAGAGTACCAGGTCATCAAGGAAGACTATGTGTGAGTAAGCTGGAACTGCAGAGAAGGGGTCAGGGGTCCTAAAGCTCAGAGCAAGATGGAGTTGGTGAAGAATGCTAGAAATAATAAAGAAGGCTTCTTTACATACATTTAAAAGGAAATGAGGTGAAAGAAAACTGCTCAAACAAAAAGGTTGAATGCTAACAGTTTGGTCTAGTGACTAAGGCATCAGGATAGAAACCGGGAGACTGTGAGTTCTAGTCCTGCCTTAGGCACAAAGCCAGCTGGGTGACCTTGGGGCAGTCACTCTTTCTCAGCCTTAGGAAGGAGGCAAGGGCAAACCACTTCTGAAAACCTTGTCAAGAAAACTGCAGGGA